AGTAGTTGGTGAACACTTGCAGAGATTGTACGGTATAGTTGCCAGTTTCCGAATCAATATTCCAGGAACCGTCTACGTTTGTGAGCGCGACCACGACGTCTTGCTGTAGGTCGTCGTCGGAGTAGAATTGCTTGGTGCCGTCCAACCACATTGGCGCACGGCTGGAGTCAGTAGCACTCGAGAAGACGACGAAATAGTGCAAGGTCGACGGAGGCAGGACGATCGGCGAGGGAGGGGTCCATGTAAACTTCTCTTGCTTGACAGACTTGACAATGTCAATTTGTTCAAATTTGTTGGAATCGGGGCAGCCCGGAACGCCTATAGTCCACCATGAGCCCCCCATTGCAATGCCCCCAGCAAGGTAGTTCCGTACCGTCGACAGAAGGGCAAATAGCGACTCGCAGCTTCGTGTTGTGGGCCACGGTGGACGTGTCCATCCAAAAGGTGACACGGTCGACGGTACGCTCCTCTGGGGCGCCGCACTCGTCGTGCTGGGGGCTGCGGAATCGCACGGCTTCGCCGAGCTTGTCCGTGATGTAGTCGGAGTGGGCACCCTCGGGGGGCGTGTGGGTATCAAACACGATTTGGGACGCAACGGCGACGTGGACGAGACCGGCAAGAAACTTCATGGCAGGGAAAATGTTGAAATGACGGTGGTGGGCCACCATGGCCCAAAGGGGTATCTAACCACATGCACCGCGACATGCACTGTAACGGTTTCGCCATGGTCGTCACGACTGGAAAATCAACAATCACGATCGCCCGAGCTCTGGAATTTCCAATGCCCGATCGGACGGACAATGCGACACAACCTAGATCGAAGTCAACTCGTGAAGATACGATTCACATGGTTATGCTGCGACACGGCCTACAGGCCTATCTGTCGCATTTCACGACGAGAGGAAAAGATTGGGCGTTCGGTGGCACGCACGATTGGAGCTGGCTCCTCGCCACCGCCTTTGGGAATGTATACACACGAACTCCAAGTCGCTTAAGTGGGTGTACAATCACCTCGTTGAAAGCTCCGTTGCTGACTGTGAGGCCAGTCGTTCGTAGAAGGGGGGCATACAAATCAAAGCCACGTTCGGTCAATCCTTCTGGAAGGAAATACGTGTCTCCATGTCAAGTTTCAAGTAGAAACGAGTCTCAAGCACATCTGTGACGATATTCTACCATACACGTTGTGCAAGACATAATACGTTGGCGCGCCTCTGCGAAGTTTTACGACAGCGTTCTCAAAGTTTAGCTACAGACTTTGTAGTCTAAGTGATGATGCACTGACTGTCGTATTTTTGATTTCAAAAATGTTGAAATCCTGACATGGAGGTTAAAAGACGAATACAGTGAAAAATCCATTGTTATATAAACTACAAATGAATCGTCCATCCCATCTTGAGGATGGCAAGGCATCGACGAGGTTTTACACCGTCCATGTTCGACCAGGGTATCGCAGATGTCAAGGCCTCTCAACACAATAGTTTTGCTTGCCATGGCCGTAAACTTCACACGCCCCCACGATTCTCAATGGGGTGGAGATCGGGGGATGCCTGAAAGG